GAAGGCTGCGCGACAAGGGGTATGTAACAGGATGGCGTTTCAGGGGGTATTAATGTAACAGAGGGCTTGTGGCACGGAACGCGACAACCCCCCTTTTCGGCACACCCCCAATTGGCATACTCCAGCTTTGAGGTTTGGTACGGAAGCCTCTCCAAAACGGCACCCCTGCTTTCAAAAACCTCACATTGCCCTCGTGACAAGGATCATGGCAACTGGCTCGCTCACGATGTAGAGGACAAAAGGCCGGGTTGATGCATTAGGTCAGTCAAAGTAGACCCCAAGTTGTTAAATGTAAGCTGGATGTGGGAGGTTGATGGCCATTAGCCCGGACAACAAGTAAAAACTGTATATCACACATACATATGTGTGTATATATATATATGTGTATGTCTACACGATCGCAAGTACAAGAGCAACTGTGGAGTACAGGCGTAATGCTTGAATTGTGGTTTGCACTGGCTTCACTGCATAGCGATATGCAATCATTGGGCGATAGTTTGCTTGTTGTCTGTTTTGTGACGCTTTCAAGATGGGTTGTGGCCTAGGCCCTCATTGTTATGCATTCGGACCTTTAGGACGCCTAAGATGTTCCAGAGATTTCTTCTGGCTTGGCAGAATCCCCCACCTCTGGTGAATGGTTTCCTGAATTTGTGATTGTTTTGCATGTGTTCTCGTTTGTTAACCCACATGCGCGTGGGTTAAAATCATTTTGGCAGACGCTTTTTGTCTGAATTCATGACACGCGCTTCTCCATAGTGCGTACGTACATCTAGTTTCCCGGATGCTTTCTGCACTTGGAGGGCGTATCTGGGTGTATAGGGCCAGGCTGGGGCGATGTCAGGGGATTTAGTGAGACACGGGGGAAGTTTGCTGGATCCAGCCCCTAAGCCTACAAAAGGTTTCAGTCGCATGTAGTGCTTGGAAGGGCGACTGATGCTGCTTAAGGTCCACACTATGTAAGGATTGGACTCGATTCGCCACGATACGGGTCCTTATATCTTGGGATGCCTATCATAAGGCAGGTCCCTGTAGTAGTTTCCCCCACCGGGAACGGGAATATCGGCAAATCCCCATCCACCCTCCATGGCCAGATGCTGCAAAATGTGTCAAACTCTGTGCTGGTTGAAGATGCGCAGGTGTCGACATCGCACTACGAAACTTGTACAAAACCAAGGCGGATACCAAGCCTAGCGTCACTCATGTGCCACAGGCGTTGCAGCAGCAGACGGCAGCCCAAAGAAAAGCGACTATGCGCAAGATCCTTGCCGCAGCAAATGGTCGCGCTAATCGCGCTGAAGCGAGGCAACTGCTGCAACTCCTTGACCTGGCAAGTCTATCGGTGAGCAGAACTATTCGACAAGCGGGCTACCAGCAGCACTGACCTAGTACAGGCTGGCCTTATTTTCGCATCCAGGGTATGGGTATGTGCAGAGCACGCACATGAAGGGGAGAACGTTGCAAATGGAAAATTGGAAGCTGCGCCCACTGCCTTGGGCCTACCTGTTGACACAGTGCAGGAGATGCCCCGGTGACCGTAAGGGCTGACCGCATCTTTTGATTCACGCAAAGTCTTGGTACCAAGGAGCTTGGGGCGTTTGCTCGTTGTCACCAGCGTGCCGATGCACCGCAGGCCGGGCTTAGAGGCTTCACGTTTACGGTTGACGATATTGAGGGTTCAGAAGCTTCCGCTGCATCAGTGGCTGAATGCACCGCGCCGCCGTTCCCATTCTTCCCCCAGGGCCCCAACTCCGAATCCTGAGCCCTGAACTATTCCTCAGACCCTCAATCTTGACTACGGCTGCACAAAGCCCAACTCTCAAGGGATGGTATTGACTGACGACAGGAACGGCAGACGCTTTATGTGCAACAGTCACGAATGGATGTTTCAGAAGTATTGCTTGAGGCCTTCGCAGCACCCTTACAGTAGGACCAACGGCAGTATCAGCGTCCAGAGCCGCAGATCATCTTGACCTCCATCCCTAAACTCCAAACTCAACTTTTCGCCGCGGCCGCCCTTGGCTTGGACGCGGCTTTCGGTGAGCAGTACCGGCGCCTGCTGAGCCAAGGCCCAAGGCACTTGCATGAGAGTTTCCCAGAGCTGTAGGCCGTAGGCCCATTTCAGGGGCTGTCTGTAACTGTCACTTGGGGCAGGTATTCAGGGGGACCGCGCTTTGGAGAGCTAGTTCAGCGTCATTCAGCGACTTTCCATCCTGCTGTTTGAGAACGCTCGGCTAATCCGTCATTTGGTTGAGGCCACAGAGGAAATGGGGATAGATTGAGACTGTCATTCACAACAAATCCTCTGACAAACTACTGTGACCCTCAGCTGTGGCCTGTCGGGGTTCCTGCAGAGTTCGGAGGCGTAGTGTGATCTTGCGGAGGTGACAGCGGCATTCCAAACTTCATTTCGTTGACCAGTTTGGGGAATTAGGCTTGTCGTTTAGAACACGGGCTGGGCTGTAGTGTCAAAGCGGGTTGGGCATTCAGATGGGTTGGTAATTACTTGGGGTGTACCCATGTAGGAGTGAGGTTGATGATTGCATTTGAGTCCTGGTTCAATGCCCAAGCAAGCTACGACGTCCTGGATGGATGTCGGCAACAATGATCGGTAATCCTGGTGTCAAGAGAAAGGACAACAATACAGCTACCGACAACAACAGACCCTGGAGTCCGAGGCCATGCCGGTGTTACAAGGCGGCGACTGGGTTCAGACCTCAGGTCGGCGGTCTTCTGGGCAAGATATACAAAGATGCCTGAAAAACTCCCTTACGACCTATGCTAGCAGAAGGTACAAACCTCAGTCCTCAAACATAATTATGAATTGTTGCAGAGCTTCAGCCCTCAGACTTAGCCCCCAGGGTTCGGGCCATCACCCCAGAGCCTAATGCAAGCTCCTGGTCCGACCGAGTACCACATCGAGGGGGAGACCCCTGCGCCGCTCAAGGAGCCGGAGCAAAAGGCTTGGGACGTGGAGGAAGTAAGTTTAACAGGGACAATGAGGCAGTCAGGCGGGAGAGCGTCGATGCGCGCGATTGATTAGGAAACACCAGACTCAATACTTGGACCTTCCCTGTACTCTGCCAACAGGCGGAGAACAAGCCTGGACATCGTCCTCTGGGCTCTTACAAGCTGCCGAACCTGGGCTTTTCTGAGATTATGGGTTGAGTCTCAAGCACTCAGGCGCGTAGCAGATGAGATGCAAGGGGGTCTCAGTTAAGCTATGATTGAATGACGTGCCGACATTACGGTCATCCTTGTACATTGTCGGGGCTGGCAAACCCAGTCAATGCAGAGTAAGAGTGCTGTGCAGCATGCTGCTGGCAATATTAGCGGCCTAATTACCCCTTCCTCCAATATTAGCGGCCTAAATACCCCTTCCTCCGAACATTAGATGTTGGTGCTCCGTGCCTCAAATAGGTTTGCAAGGGAAATGCAAGGATCATTTGCTAAAGTTTGGACATAGGAGGCTACCTGGGATGGGTATCGGTATGGGGTTTTGAAGGGTCCCCCTCACAATTACTTGAATGCTAAAGAATAGTGACTATCCAAGCTGATTGCACGTCTTTTGGGCTGGGAGCGGCAGGGGTGTTCTAACATCTTGGAAACATGTTTGCCTACCATGCCTTCAGCAAATGTGTTATTCTGGGAAGTTGTGTAGGGTCCGTCAAAACAATCACAGTTTACCAGGCCAAGCCTTGTTGGTGAAGTTGCTACTGTATGGAAAGCTCGTCTAGAGGGTCCGCTTGTACATGACGCGACTTTGAGATTCTCGTGACCCTCCTGGAAATGTGCAGTTTACAGACCTCCCATCTTGGTATCCCTAGACTAGACAAAGAGTCTGATCATGATGGACTGGTGTGTGGACATCGCATCGTGGCAAGTACAAGCTCAGAAGCGATCATCCGCAGACAGCCACCGGGCCATGAGAGCAGAGGGGGCCCACTATGTGAATCTAAAAGACTGTTCCCCAAAGCTGCTTCGGGATAACTGATGTCTGAACGGATCTGAACAGCGCTTGACTCGATATCTTCCACTCTACTTGGATACCGGTCAATGTTGGCATGTTTCATTTGAAAAGAGAAGCGCATCTAGTTGATGTGTATGCTGCCCTGCCTAAACCCGGATCTCTACCATGACCGCGTCATATGGGACATGCCTCAATGCCTGAGGAAATGGGTTTACCACCCAGAACGAGCCAACCGAAGGCAGGAGAAGATCTTTTACTGATCAAATGCATTGTTGGTGCACGCATATGATGAGAGATGAGGAACCTTGAGCACTTTGGGAGGGCTGTAGCAGTTAGCAGATTTTGCATCCTTCAGCTTTCAGAAGTGGTCATACCTGAAGCTCCATTCTGCAGAGATGGTCTCAGAGACTGAAAGAGGACATTTCACATCCAAGCCACGCAGGAATCGCCAATCCCTATATATATATATATATATATGCACCTACAAACTGCCTGTAAAGATGCCAAGGCCTGTCACAATCTTGCTTTGTCGTGGTGCGTTGCATTGCGCAGGATCGTCATCAATAAGGAGGACTACTTCGGAATGGCGGCGGATGGCCTTCGAAACTTCGACCTTTGGAACGTCGCTCATGTGGCCATTCCCTCAAATAAAAGAGCGGAGCAGTCTTCTGCAAATCTTGTTTACACATCTCATTAGAGCTAAAAGCATCGGGCCAGACACTGCCACACCGCAAGGCTGCATATCATGACGACTTGAAGCTCTTGTCCATGGCCGAAACCTCGGTCAGGGACTCCAAAGCTTCAGTTTTCTGGCCCCCAGATCCGGTGTACTGCAGGACGTGTCAGGGTGCTCTGCGCATTTCAAAGCACACCAAAAGCTCACTGGGTTGATCTTTTCTTGTCGCATTCCTCATTGAATCAGCGCTACCCCTGTGAACCCAGATGACAGCCTAGCTCACTACTTCATGTCGTGATCAGCCATCGCCGCTGAAGGGCCTTGTGGCTGTAGCACCCAAAGCTTCACCAGGCCACTCTCGAGCAGTGCAAGGAGCCAAACAGGCACCAGCGAAGCAACACTGCGGCCTTGGATTGTAGGTTTGAGTCTGCAGACGGGACTCCCCATCGTGACTATGGCTAGCAAATATTGATAGTGTTCGGAAGTTTGATAGAACTTCGTTGAGAGGGGGTACGGCCGCGGGTTTGGCATTAGGACCTTGCATTCCTCTGCCATTGGCATCTTCACGGCCAGTTGCACAGCTTTTTGAGAGCGAGCCGACCAAGCATGGACTCCAGAAGCTCCATGGTGCTACGGACTGAATTAATCCCTCTAGCTAGCTGCACAATCCCCTACAAATACTCCCATCATACAGTCTCATTGGGAGGAAACACGAAGCTTTGGGCAGGTGGGGCATGACGCCCATGCACATGACTGGGCTTGGGCAGCACCCCTATGGCATCCCCGACTTGGATTCGGGGCTCGGGTCATGGTTAGAGGGCTTGGGATCTATTATTGGGAGCAGACGGTGTAAAGTACGATTGCCTTTTCTTGTGGGTGCTTTCGCTTGGACAGGCCCCACCTCATGGTGGAAGGTTGAAAGCTGGCGCTGGACATTGTACCTCTGCAGCTAAGCCTTCAGCAGTCAAAACTATGCACAGGGCGATGCAGACATCCCATGGAGCCTTTCATCCCAATGGCCCAGTTCACTCCCTTTTGTTGCCTGGCCCTTCGAAAGCCAGGTCCTTCGCTGTGCGTGCTTTGGGAGCTCGTGCAGATGGGTGCAGCAGACCCCATGGTTGGTAACCCGGTCCAGGGACTCCGCTTTACTTCTTGTACAAGAGGGAGCCCAGTCACTCAAACTGTCAGATGAAGTCATCGTTTTTTGGGGGCAGCTTTTTAACATTGGCAGAAACCGCAGCGCAGTGCCCAGAACAGCCTTCATGGCAACCAACATGGGCAGGGCTAGGATTGCGCTGTGTGTGATCTCCGAAGGTTTCTTGCCGACTTCGAGTGTTGCTGCAGGCAGTCGTTGCAGCAAAACAACGTTCGACAAGATGCACTGAAGATCCTAAACTAGTGTGCAAAGTGCAAAGGCATCTCGAAGCCTGAACATCATGGCAGCTTTAAAGTCAGACTGACCTGCAACTGATCTTCTGACTCAAGATGATGCCATGAAGCTCCATACGCAACTCTTGAAAAGCTCCCTCGAAGCTCCGCAACACACCAGAATACTACAAAATGCCATTAAGCTCTGACTGTATGATTTGACATGCACCCTCACATCTCTGTCCCACCACTGTGTTTGCCCCTGATCTCAGTCTAAGGCTCTCAACTCTGCAGACCAGAGCCCGTGGCATGTGGCGCAGCGCATGCAGAAGCCCTCTCACCTAAAGAAGTGGGAGAAGGCAGGCTCACTGTTCTTCGATGAGCTTCTGTTTTCAAGATGCTTAAGGATGGCCAAGTCCAGCCTGGTGTGCCTGGTGTGCCAGCAGACTAGATAATATCTAGTCTGACATGCTTGCAGATGGCATAACCAGTCTGCACAGCAGGTGGTCTTTAAAGGCGGAAAGCCTGAAGAGTACGACAGCAAGAAGGAGGCAAGTTGAGTGATGCTGACTGTGGTCCTGGGCCGTTGTGGCGGTCTTTCTGTAGTATGACAGTTCTTTCTGGACTTTGGCTGCGAACCCTTTCGTGCCCGAATAGAAGTACTTCTTCTTCTTCTTCTTCTACTGCGACTCCTGCTACTGCTGCCACTGCCGTTTTTGCCGCGGCCACTGGTGAGGAAGACGTATTCAGTGAGGCATTTATAAACGCGTAATTACGAAGGCCAGGGAACCTTGCGTGGCTCAGCTGGCAGGCGCCGCTTTAAGGAAGACCCATAACGAAGCCCTTGGTGTCCCCTTAATGGGCTTCCTCAATTTATGTCGTGGTGTGCCTGTAGTGTCTCCTGCTACGGCCTCCACTTTCTCGAAAAGTCATGGTAAGATGCTGAAGGCATGTAACCGGAGCGCCACGACCCCAAGGATGGGATGCCCCCTGACCTGATACCCTTTCTTTGCAATTCAGGCTTCACTCATTTCATGCTCCCAACGTTCCAATACGCAGCAGTTTCTTCTACCCTCGCCCCTACAGCGCTGAACCCTCAATCTTCGGACCTTTTGCAAGCTACTTGCCCGAAGCCCCACGTCACCCCACGGCAGGCGCAGCTGAAGCCCCGGGGCAAATTTGCTCGAGCCCTGGGCATGGACACTGCTCTGATCGAGGTCGGCACCGGAGTTCATGATAGAATTTTAGGGGTGATGTTTGGCCATGAACCAGGGTTTTTGGTAGGATGTTACAGAGTGCAGTGTGGAATTTGGAGTTGTAACACATCATAAACATGGATAGAATCTTTGGCCTACCGGAGGTTCAACTGCAGGGTTTAATCAGATCACTGAATATATAACGGCCTGCATCCGATTAAGTTGATAGTTTACTGCTGCTGGAGTCACGTAGCATCACGGAGGCATGAGCATTAATAGGAGGAATCTCCAAGTGTGACCGGCCCGCGACTGCATTCTTGAGAACCGCAACCATCAATCGTGGTTTGGCAGCCGACCTTCATTCAATCATGCACCCTACATCCTGAGCCTTGACCTAAGCTGAACTTCAAACTCCTTTCCAGTCAGAAGCCATCCCGGAAAGACCTGCTGGAGGACTCCTCCAAGCCGCTTCCAGTTTGCCTCGTCTTCCCAGGCGTGGATGAAGAATTTTGGGTTTCAGGGCTTGGGTGTCATGGCATTGTATCACAGTCGGTGACTTAGAGTTGATGGTTTCTGTTGAGGGCGTGGAGCAGGGTGCGGGGTTTGGGGCATGGTAGTCGATGGGAGTCGAGGGCTGTGGAAGGCCTAGCATGCTTAGCCTTCGTCGGCGTACAAAGGCCCTGAACAAATCAGCTTGTGACGTAGCTGACGACCCATGAGCATTAAGGCAGGTGCAGATCTCGGTACGGTTCGTGGCATTCATGTGCAAGGGACAAATTGTTTTTTTTCCTTACTCGAAAAAAGACTCCACTCGCGAAGTGTCCTGTCATCCTTATCTGCATCCCCAATGTGGAGCACCTCCTTTCGAGTAGAGTATTCGACAAGAAGAATGTAGTTTTACTTGTTCCAGCTACAAAAACACTGCTTGCTTGGTGGCTTAAATGATGCTTTATGTGTGGCACATGGCTTGCTGGCGGAGTACGGTACACTTCTGCCAGTACCCCACCTGCACCTACCAAATTTGCCTCAGACATGGCAAACGCGTAAACCTGCATCTAACAGAAGCCCGATTAGCATTCTTGCACCTCGGACTACAGGAATACCAACGTGCATGGCAGGGCTGTGACCAGTTCTGGCAACCATGAGAGCTGTGACACAATGTGAATTTGTTCTAGGTTCTAGACATTAGATTGCTTCATGGAGGCCCTCATCAGCAGGATCCGAATCGGGCATGCCCGGAAGATCTGCGCCTCAAATGTTCAAGAAGAGCTTCTTCACTCTGCTTGGTGTCACCCTGCGCCAGGGCAAGGATCACAGTATGTGGGCATGTTGCAGAAGCAGAAGGACGGGAGATGATGCAGAGATGATGTGCCATTGTCTGTTGCGGACTTTCAAGCGTGTATGGAGTTATAGAGCGGCCGGAGGGTCGCTGCTCAGTCTTCAGGCTGCCTGGAGCCTGAGGTGGGATTGTCTTAGCGTCACCGTTTAAGCAGCAGTTGGACACGTGAGATTCGTGGCTTGGCGAAGCTCAATGAAGCCATTTCAGCATACTTTGCGAATACCGGCACGCTGTCAGGCAGTATCTGGGTACAGGTCAGCAGGTCCCGATCTAGTTCATTTCTCGCCTTAATCAGTCCAGAGTGTTGCGCAGCATCACCTTGCCCAAAAAGCCGCCAGGACCTTCCGGCAGTCAAGGCCATGCTCACAAAGGCCCAAGAGGTGCGGAAACCCTGGTGGCCGGAAGGATCTGGTTTCCGTGAGGTTGCAAGAGTTGCGAGCTGAATTTGTCTCACGTGCACAGCAAAGGTCTTTTGCGCCTGCGAGACGCATTTCATCATGTCAACATGTGAAAGGACACCCTTGAAATTTATAAAATTGAAGCTGGAGCGAGTGGTTCTTCCTTCCTAAAAGATTCCGAAAAGCGTGAGCGTGGTTTTTGACAGGTTCTCGGCTACGACTTGGCTGAGATCCTCCAAAATGGCCCTGCCGACAAGCGCCTGTCCTAGCTTCCTGTTGCTTCGTTGGGGACTGGTTGACATAGATCTTTGTATAGATTGATATGATTGATTGAAGGTTCTGTCAGGGATTTATCATCCACAGGATCTCCAGCAAAAGACTCGTCTGTAGGGGTCTAGGTCACTTGTCAAATGGCCCCTGGCTTGCAAGCTGTTGGAGCGCAGTGCTCAGGTAGCTCATAATACTCACAGCCCATCCGGCCATCATCTCTGTTTTGACTGAGGGTCTATGTCTGAGTGAAGCTCAGAGCAATAGAAAACATATTAAGGCAAGGACTTGTTGATCCCAGATTGTCTATGCTCGCGGGCTTGGCAGTCTTCAAAGTCAAACCTTGCGCTTCTGATACACGGCCCCTTGTCTGCGCAGCGTCAGCAATCTAGATTCGTTTGCTTGAAGATAGGGAGCCTTTTGCCCGAGTTAGTTTGAAGGACCCAGGACAACCCGGCTGCAATTTTAAGAGCCACTTCATCATGCGGTCTGAGCATATCTAGAGCGTCCGTAAATGCGCGCAGGCTTGCCGAGACAAAGTATTGCCAACCAGCAATGCGGCAGCCTTGGCACTTGTGACTGTGTCATGAGGCATGTCGAAGGCTGGGAGCTGAAATGACATAGTCGTCACAGGAAAGCCTTCAGTAGTAATGGCAAATGCATGCGATAGCAATGCCATCATGTAGAACGAACTGGGCTGATGGTCATAAATCATGACAATGATGATGTGCCGGTTGCGTCGTGTTTTAAATCATGTTTTGCATGATGAGTACCGTAGAGGACCATCAAGGCAGTTGCTCTAATTGTCATGGTTCTGAGAACAGCAAGAAACATGATAATGAGCAGAGATGGATGACTGCCGTCTACGTTCGTTAGCGTGATGTTGCGCGATGTGTCTGATTATGGTCAGTATGATCACCACGGCCATGCCTTCCAATGCCAAATGCGGAAATCATCCAGGAATCCTCAATGACAGGTTTACCATAGGATGCATATATATATATGTATATGTATATAGTGTGTATTATGTTATATACATGGCGACCATTTCAGATGGTTGAAAGGCCTCGCGAAAGTTTCGCGAAAGAAGACGCAAAAGGATTGCACTTCCTCGCGAAAGATGTGTGACAGCAACGTCTTGGGTATTGTCTATTTGGAGGCTCACGAGTATCACATACCAAGACGCAAAGTGAATCATCCTAGAGGTATTGAATCCCGATTGCAGGTGTGTCTTGTCATGGACCTCGCAAGGGGCACACTGTTCACTGCAAGACCCCAACAGCTTGTACATCTGCTCGCTTCAGATTTCTGGTTGTTAGCCCGCAATTGCCCGCAAGTTTCGCGAAAGCCTTCGCGAAAGCTCTGGAATATCTTGAAGCCGGCGGCCCACTAAGCACTGAAACAGCACTGTGGCAGTGCAGAATAGTTGCCACACGTAGCCCAGGTGACAACATGGTGGACAGAAGCAGAATGACATGAGACAATATGATCTCGTGGTAAATTAATACATGTTAACCAACCAGTGAATTACGATCCTGAAAATAGGCCCCGCCAAAGTTTCGTGAAAGAAGACGCGAAAGGATTACAC